TCCAATTAGCCCACCTCCAAAATTTCTTCCTCCTATAGTTTCTATAAGAGTCCTCATGATCTACATTTGAACATGGCTAATACATTTGGAACCAAGCCTTTAAAATATATATATACACACACACACACACACACACACACACACACATATTGTCAATGGACCTTTATTTTATTTATAGGCAGTGCTGAGAATTGAACCCAGTGCCTCACACATGCTAGGCAAGCGCCATACCACTGAGCCACAACCCCAGCCAAATACAGATGTCTTTAGAGGACATTTAAGCAGTAGGAATAATGCTCCACCCACTGAGAGGGAATCATTTGCATAAATTATTTGGACTTCTTCCATTGTTAATACAATTTTATATGCCTTATCTCATATGAAAGGCAAAGTTTCATGGGTTCTAACAAGCCTCCTACTGCCTTTTCCCATCTATCCTGAGAGAATTAGAAATGTGGGGCAAGCCTCTGAGCAGATAATTCTCTGCAGTTTTCATTAATAGAAGTACTATGAAGGCAGAACTATTCAAAATGTGGGCCATGGACCACCATGATTTACATCTGTTTATGGGTCTAGGAATAATGTAAGTACAGAAATTGAGAGCAACATTTAGGAGTTTTCATGGCAAAATAAATAGTAACTGTATTGACTCTAACAATAAATAATTGAGGCTTGTACAAGCTGCCCTCTGTATTTATGGGTTCTACATCCATAGATAACAGATAATATTCTTTTAACAAATTCTTTCTGTACTGAACAAGAACAAACTTTACTTCTTATCATCATTCCTTCAACAATATAGCACAACACTATTTATGTAGCATTTCCAAATTTTAATAAACACAGTCTAGCACCATTTATTTAGCATGAACATTTTCATTACTATAAAAAATACCTGAAATAATCAACTTTAAAGGAGGAAAATCTTATTTTGGCTCATAAGTTCATGATCACTTCAACCTTTTGCTTTGGGCCTAATGGTGTCACAGTACAAATAACCTAGAGAGGGTCTAAAGTGTAAGGGAGGATGAACTTAGGTTATATGTAAATACTACACCATTTTATATAAGGAACTTGAGTACCCATGATTTGGATATCTGCCAGGGATCCTGAAACCAATCCCCAACAGGTACCAATGGATGACTGTACTTCATCTGTCTTTACTCTTTTTTTTCCAATGATTCATTTTTATTTTCTTTATAAAAGTATTGGCCTCCGACAGATTAGGGGGAAATGGCATTCAGTACCAAGTGGAGAAAGCCTACTGTAGGAAGTTGTGTGGATCAGTCTGATTGATTTGTGTGCCTCATACAGACTAGAATTTTGGGCTCTCCTTTACCTTACCCACATCCATATGTCCTCCTTGTTCTCTAGATGTGACAATGAGGCCTGGGCCCATCACCAACAGGCCAACATCCCAGCCTTACCCCACTGAGCTCCTGGCTCTCTCCTTAGAGCATGCTGTCCCTACCTTCCCCTGGCAGGCCCTGCACCATCTTGGAAGCAGGATAGCCCCTCTCTAGTTGCTCCGAGCCTGGCTACAGGCAGCTCCCTGGATGGCCACCGCCAGCCCTGCTGCATGGGTTCTGCTCTCATCATGCTTGGGGTCTCCAGTCATTTCCATGAGCAAAGCCCATTCAGTTATTTTGTTGGGGATCAAGACTATGCAGGGGACAACAGGAGGGGTCAGGAGCCTTCCGCCCATGAAAGATGTCAATGTGGACTTTTGCTAATATCTCCAAATTAAGTCATTCATATGGTCACAGGTCTGAAAGGAATTCAACACATCACCCCACTAGAACTTAATTTAAAATAACAATTGAGGGGCTGGGGTTGTGGCTCAGTGGTAGAGTGTTCGCCTAGCATGCACAGGGTCCTGTGTTTGATCCTCAGCACCACATAAAAATAAACGAATGGAATAAAGGTATATAAAAAAAGAAGTTTACATTTAAAAAAATTAAAAATTAAATAAAATAACAATTGAATCTTGTATGTTGATTATTATTACACTAAATATAGAAGAACACAGAATCTACTTGTTTCTTTCTTTTTATTTTATTTTATTTTTATTTTTGTAGTTGTAGTTGAACAGCATGCCTTTATTTTATTTGATTATTTTTATGTGGAGCTAAAGATCAAACCCAGTGGCTGATATGTGCTAGACAGATGCTCTGCCACTGAGCTACAGCCCCAGCCCTGAATCTACTTGTTTCAAGAAACATATTTATGTAAAAATGTGTGATCACATTGACATACTTGATATAAATAAAAATGGATTTTATTATTAATAATAAATTTTTATGTAAAAAAATCATTATCTTTTAGTTAGCCCAATATTGCAGTATATTCTGTGTTAAAGTAGATAACACTATAAACCATAATTTGTATAATCCTACCCTGGCCTTATTTTTACTTTATAATATCTAATTAGTCTCAAAAATGCCATTAGCAGATCTACCAATGGAAACCTGAGAAGTCCTCCTAGAGATCATTTCCCTCCTCCTTCTTCTCAAGGTCTGCTTACTGCAAGAGGCTCTTAGGATTTCCTTTTCCAGTCCCTCTTCTCTAAGGAAGATTCCACTCCTTTAGCTCATTAGAGTTTGGTTCTCAGCTGTTCTCTCAGTTTTAGCTCAGAGTCTGGCACATAGTAGGGCTTTATAGACTGTATTATATCCCCCCTTAATTGATATGTTGAAGCTCCAACCCCCAGTGGGATGGAATTTGCTGGTGGGGCCTTTGGCAGATAATTAGGTTCTGATGACATCATGAGGGTGGGGGCTCTTAGTTCAGACTCTAAAACAAAATATCATCAACTGGGTGGTTCATAAACAAAATTTATTTCTCACAGATCTTGGGGCTGGGAGTCCAGGGTCAGGGTGCCAGCATGGTTGAATTCTGGCTTGCAGAGTGACAACTTCTCACTCTAACCTCACATGGTGGGTGAGGAAACTCTCCAGAGCCTTTATAAGGGCTCTGATCCCATTTGTGTGAGCTCCACCCTCATGACCTAATCATACCCCAAAGGCCCCACCTCTTAATGCCATCATCATGAAGTTACAATTTCAACATATGAATTTTGTGATAGTTTTAGAATAGAAGAATTACTTACACGACTTCCATTGTTTGTGGGAATCCCTCTGTTTCGTACCTCTTTTAATTTCTAAAGTCTTTTTACAAAAACTTCAATCCCTTTTACAGAAACTCAATGGTAGTTTGGATCTATTTCATAGCATAGAGGTAGCAAATATTTATCTCCTGAAAAGGCACCTTGAACCACTTGTTAGTGGGCTTATCTAATGCTGAGCTGTTACAGAATCTGAAGTTTCTTCTAGAGGCAGTGAGAGGAGTTCTGTGATAGATTAGCAATGCCTGTCATGACTGTGGGAGGGGTTGGTAGAGGAATCTGTGTCAACCCTGACTTAAAAGCTGCTGCTTCTGTGCCTGGGTTACAGTTAAGCCTGGGCATCTGGTATCAGCACTGGGGCCTCCTCGAAACCATATGTATTTGCAGCCTCATCCTCACGGGGCTCCCAACTTCTGTGGGTGCAAGATAAGAAAGAAGGAGCATGGTGGGTGATGGAGAGGGTAAAAATCTGCTGCTCTATGATGAAGGAGCTCTTAATCTTGCCTGTCCCCCAGATCACAACAGCAATCTATCCTATACAGCATGTTCTACACACGGAGCCCCTTAGAGAAGCTGCAATTCAACTCTACAAACATTTATTCAGCGCCTTTCATGAGTCCAGCACTGTGCTAGGCACTGGGGAGAAAACAGAAGTATTGTGATCCTGGTGTCCCAGGGACTTATAGTCTTCCAGGGAATGCCACTGGCCATGTGAGGTGTGCAGGAATCTGGGGATGCTGCACGGGGGCATCCATGGACTATTCCAAGATCTGACTGGAGGGGCTGAAGCCATTAGATAGTAGGAAAGGGGCAGGTAGTGATCCTGGGAGATGGTTGTGTGGTCATCCTACCAACAGCCCAAGGGGAGCTGGAGCAGGGGCAGGGGCTGAGTAGGGAGCTGCGGAGAGCAAGGCAGGGACCATAGCCCTCAGGTGTGGGATTAGGCCAAGCTCCGTTCTGCAGGGCTAAGGGAAGGACTCAGGCTTTGAGTCAGTCAGCCTGTGGTGGTCAAGGGGCAGAGCCAGCACCCACTGACAGACAGATGCAGGACTTGGCCCACTGTGGCTGAACCTGGTAGCTGCCACCCAGGGCAGCTGAACTGGAAAGGAAGTGAGATGTGGTGAGTGGGGGTGAAGGTGCCAATTCCCAGTGACCACAGGGACAAGGTGCTTTGCAGGTCACTGAAGCCAAAGCTGCTGGGGAAAATGATCACTGAAATGGGAACAGCACAGGCTGGAATGAGATGGAGAGGATCCAGAAAAAGGTGACAACATCTGACCCCCGTGGAGCAGAGGGCTTGGATTGGAAGAAAAGGCAGGGGGGAGGAGGTGAGGGCAAGATACCTAACAGAGCTCTTCCAACACTAGCAGCCAACAGAGGTTAACACCATGCAGTAGATTTGGATGCCCTGGGTTTGAAACCTACCTGTCCTCCTTGCATCACTCTGGGCAAGTTACTTAACCTCTTGGGGACTCTGATTCCTCAACTTGGGCTGAGAGTAGTATCAATCTCATAGGATTACTATAAGAATTGAGTTAAAACATATAAAACACCAAGAACGGTACCTGGCACAAAGGGCTTTGTAAACATTTGCTAGTCAAGAAGGTAAAGTAGTTTGAGCATTAACCAATATTTCCCCAGATGTATTCCATGAAACTTCAAACAGGAGATGCTCTCATCAAAAAAGTTTTTATGCGCTGGGCACTGTATTGCATGCCTAAAATCCCAGCTACTTGGGAGGCTGAGACAGGAGGATCACAAGGCCAGCCTTGGCAACTTAGTGAGATCCTGTCTCAAAACAGTAACAACAACAACAACAAAGGCTGGGTAAAGTACCCCTGGCTTTAATCCCCAGTACCAAAAAAAAAAAAAAAAAATTCTTATGATAAAATAAATTTGGAAAACATATAATATCCCTATGAATTGTGGACAAGTCCACAGTAAAAAAAAATAAAAAATAATAAACAAACAAACAAACAACAACAAAACCCCCAACCCTATCTAACTTTATTTCCAAACCTGGTGGATCCTGAAATCCTCTGACTGCCCCATGGGACAATGTTCCACAGGACACCAATTTGGGAAACGCCATGGGGAAGGGAGTGCGGGAGTCTGAAAGCAGAGGAAGGGTCTCCAGAAGACAACTTCTAGCAGAAGATGACACAAAGACAGTCCGGCACTCAGGGAGGGAAGAGGGGAGAGAAGGAGGCTTTGGGTGTGACACACTTGTGATGATACAAGGGAAGGTGTACACGAGAGACCCCAAGGAGAGAGAAACAGAAAGGCCCATAGTGCTGTTAGAAGTAGAGGCGAGAGAGGAGAAGGCAGAGGTGACTCTGAGAATTCAAGTTTGGGGAGCTAGGAAACAGAGGAGTGGAAAGGAGATCAGGAGTGGGAGGTGTCCTCCATTTTCTTATGTCCCCACTCACTTCCCACTTGCTCTGTCACCCTCCCAATTGTGGGACGGAGGCAGGTCTAGCCCTGTGGCTTCCTAGAATGGGAAGGGTGAGGACTGATGCTTCCTGGGAAGAATGGCCCCAAAGATGTTTTGTCCCCGCTATGTACAGATTGTATGGTTGTAAAATCGACAGCAGTTGTCCAGCGCCACTGGGCTGAACTCCAGACTGGTGCTGAAAAGAAAGCAAAGGTACAGTGTGAGCTCCAGGCCTACCTCTGCCGGCCAGGTTGTGCACCCTGGGAAAGTCATTCTGCGTCTCTGGTCCACACTTCCTCCCCAGATTTGGTCCTCAAGTCTTCCCTTCCTCCTCCCCATGTCACATCAGCTATAGCCAGGACATTTTCTACCCTACCTGCCTGTGCCAAAGGCATCCAGGCACTTGGGTGCTGTGTGCTCCCTCACACTTTGCTCCTCCACTCCCCCCATGGCCCAGGATCTTACTTTTGGAAGGCCTGGCGGCAGCAGTTGTACACCTCAAAACTGCTGCTGCTGAGGGTGCTATTCAGGAGGGACACACAGTCAACCTCAGCCCCCCTGGGCACATACAGGATTCCTGTGGAGGGAAAGCCACTGGTGGGCACAGCCCAGGGGCCAGCTAGAAGATTAGGGCTCCAAGTCCCAAGCCCACTGGCCTGAACTCACCTGCCACGCAGGCATTCATCAGGGACACGCAGGCTCCCGTGAAGAGCGCACGGAGCACAACCTGAGAGAAGTCACTCTTCCGCTGGGGGACCAGGGAGGCTGCAAGGGGACAAGAGTGCTCAGGGCCAGGGATTCCATGTGCCTCTCCCACCACAGATTGTGGTCTGGCTCATCTGCTGATTCTCCTCTTCTGCATGGTCAGAGGACAGATGTTGTCCCTGCCGGTCACCCGAGTTTGGGAGTCCTCTAAGGCCTGGCTCCTGCCCCCTAGGATATGATCCAGTCGTCTTCCACGCATCATCAGTGGCAGATGCAGAAAAAGAATTTAACTATCAAATCTGGCAGACCTGGGACTAAATATAGGCTCAGACACTTGTTAGTTGAATGAATTGGGCTGTTATTTTACTCTCAGAGATCCAGTTTCCTGCTCTGTAAAATGGGTTGATTAGGGCTGGGGGTGTAGGCTCGTGGTAGAGTGCTTGCCTAGCACATACAAGGTTCTAGGTTTGATCCCCAGCACTATAGAAACAATCACACACACACACAGGCTGATTGCACCACAGGGTGGCTGTAAAAAGAGGATGTTATTGTTGAAGAGCTAAGAACAGCCAGCTGTGGTGGCACATGCCTGTAATCCCAACAACTCAAGAGGCTGAGGTGGGAGGATCAAAAGTTGGAGGCCAGCCTCAGCAACTTGTGTGTGTGTGTGAGAGAGAGAGAGGGAGAGTGTGGTGCTGGGGATTGCCCCCAGAGGCCTTGTGCACATGAAGCAAGCATTCTACCAACTGAGCTATAGCCCCAGCCCTCAGCCTCAGCAACTTCAAAATAAAAAGGGTTGGGGGATGTGGCTCCGTGGTTCAAGTTCTAGTACAACCCCCACCCCCTGCAAAAAGCTGAGAACAGTGTGGAAACTTCCTCTCTACTGTTGGGATGTGGAGGGGAAAAGGGAGAAAACACATTTGCAGAAGCACTCACATTGCCCCTGAGAACTCACATTTGGGGAAGTAGGAAATGGGAAACAGAAGGGGTGGGAAGTGTCCTTCCTTTATTTATGTCCCCAACTCACTCTCCGCTCACTCACTTCATCACCCCTTTCAACTGTGGGACTAAGCCCTGAGGCTTCCTGAAGGAGGACCTGGAGAGGGGCCATCCCCTGCAGCAGAGAAATCATGGAACTCTAGGACTGGGCTGCTGAGCCCCACGGCCATCTTGTTCAGGCTCCTGCCTTAGACAAGTGGGACAACTGAGGCCTGAGTCCCCAGTGAGTTCAGGTTCCTGACTCCCTCAGATGCTGGGGCGGGGTGGGGGTCCCCACAGGACTCACTCAGGCCTCCCAGCATGATCCCAATAGAGGTGAAGTTGGCGAATCCACAGAGGGCGTACGTCGTGAGAATTTCTGCTCTGTCCTGAAAATACAGACGGTGTGTGAGGACCGGCTGCCCTCAGTTGGGACAAGAGCACTCCCACGCTGCCCAGGCTCTGGCTTTGTTTTTACCCACTTTCCATGTGCCCTTGACTTCTGAACCCTCTGTGCTGCCCCTTTCCTGGTCTTGCTGTCCCACATCTAAGTCAGCTGGAATTCTGCCACTTCAACAACATAGCTGCCCTGGATCCTCTCATCTTCAACCCTCTGTTCTTAAATACCAGCCTTTTGGGGTGTGATTCAGCCTGGTTCTCACTCTGGCCAGAGGGGGCGCTTGGAGAAGGGCCCCGCTTCTGGTGCTCTATAGTCTTCTGCTTCCAGTGGCTGTGAAAGCCCTGGGCTGAGAGACCTTGTGGGGAACTGTCAGGCTGAGAGGGGACAGTGGGCCCCACTGGAAAGAGTAAGGCACCCGGCGTCCAGCTTGGCTTCCAGGCTTGTCCCCACTATGGGCAGGTCAGCAGCTTCTTGAAGCTTCAGGACTGTGATAAGGATTATATTATGATATATGGGAAATACCAGGCATTGAGTGGGCAATTAAACAAGGTAGTGCTTCTGTTTTGTTCTGAAGTGTTTTGTTTTGTTTTTTTTTTAATTTTCCAGAAAGAAGCATTAAGACCCAAAATGGAACAATTTGGGGGAAAAAATTGGCTTAGATCCATATCTCACATTGTATATAAAATTCCCTTCAGATCATAGAAGCAGACAAATATTTTAAATGTAGAATAATAGAAAATTTAGGATAATAATAATTATAGTTACAAGATAGTATTACACTCATTTTGGAGAGGACCAAACTGAGACTCAGGTTCAGTAAGAAGTTCACACAGCAAGAAGGTGACTTTGTCAGAATTTGAACTCAGTTATAACTATAAAATTCATTATCTTAATGACTTCCTTGCCTTGTTCCAGGGATTTAATACTTACCAGATATCATTTTAGCATATAAATTACAGAAATAATAGGAGCAATCACAAAGGAAAAGATTTGGTGTAAAAATCTATGTTGAGAAAACAAATCCCTATATAGAAAATGAAGGGGAAAAGAAAGAAGAAACAGGAAAAATATATAGAGGAAATATGAAAAGAGTTAATTTCATTATAGCATAACTAATTTATGCACCAAAACTAGATAAATAAAGGAGTGAAGAAAATAGAGTAGGGAGAATGGGGGAGGAACGAGGGGAGGGAAAATGGGGAAATGGGGATTGAAATCAAATTCCTTGCATGTATTAGTTTGTTAAAATGAACTCAAATACTATGTGTAATTATAATGCTCTAATTTTAAAAGTTTATGCAAATATTAATTGAAAAAATATTAAGGTATCTTATTCCTGCTTGCTCACGTACAATGGTGCTTTATAGACCAGCTAAACAACCTTCTTCTTCTTCTTCTTTTTAATACTGAGAGTGTGAACCAGTATTTTACCACTGAGCTACATCCCAGTCCTTTTTATTTTTATTTTGAGACAGGGTCTTGCTAAGTTACTGAGGCTGACCTCGAATTTGTGATCCTCCTGCCTCAGCCTCCTGAATGGCTGGAAATTATAGGTGTGCAACACCATGCCCAGCTCGTATGACTTTCTTAAGATGTAAAGGTCAAGTCTTCAGTGACTTCCTATACTCCCTGGGTCATACTCTCACAATATGCTCTAGCTGTACTACCCTCAGTTCTCTGAGCATACTATGTGCTTTCAATCTCAGGGCCTTTGCACATGTCTCTTCATTTGTCTAGAATATTCTTCCCTTCAAGTCTTGGCCTAAATGTTACACCTCAAGGAGACTTTCTTCAACCAGTTCAGCCAAGAGAACCTCCCTCCCTGTTTTTACTTGTTTTTCCTTTATAGAATTTACCACAAATTGTGGTAATCTTTCATTGCTTTGCTTTACTGTGTTTTGCCTATGTCTCTCAATAAGAGAGAAATGAGACCAGGAATCATGGTTGTTTAAGTCCCCTTTTTATCCTTTTTTGCCTAGCAGAGTGCCTCGCACCTAAATGATCTCCACAAATACTTGATGAAAGAATAAGATTCATTAAAAATCTGAGCACAGGACCAGGCATGGTGGTGCAAGCCTGTAATCCCAGTGGCTCAGGAGGCTGAGACAGGAAGATCCTAAATCCAGACCAGCCTCAGCAATTTAGCGAGGCACCAAGCAACTCAGTGAGACCCTATCTCTAAATAAAAATACAAATAGGGCTGGGGAATGGCTCAGTGGTTGAGTGCCTCTGAGTTCAATCCCTGGTACCTCCTACCAAAAAAAAAATTATGAAGAATCAGACACTTGATTACCTCTGAGGTATGGTGAGATCAAAGCAAGGACAAGGAGTGAGGGGAAACATGCTGTTACTTCATACACTTTTTAAAAAAAAAAACTAAAAAACATATTCATTTACAACTTATTTTAAGTTGTAGTTGGAAGCTGGGCTACTGGAAGCATAATGCCTATAATCTCAGCTACTCAGGAGGCTGGAGGATCACAAGTTCTAGGCCAGTTTGGGCAACTGAGTGATGATACTCTGTCTCAAAACAAAATAAATAAATAAATAAATAAATTAATTAATTAAAAAAAAGGGCTGGATGTAGTTCAGTGGTAGAGCACTCCTGGGTGTAGTCCCAAGTGTGGTGAGGGTGGGGTGGGGAGAGACTTAAAAATAATTGAAGTTAAGAAAAATTTCTTACTAAAATTTCTCAGTCACCCAAGAATGAAAAATAAAACAATGAGCTATTATTTGCCCATTAAAGTAGCAAAACTTGTTTCTAAGTAGAAACTCCCTAGTGCTATTCAGCATGTGGTGAGATAAATGCTCATGGGGCACAGCTGGTGGCAATTTCAGTTGTTCCAACCCTTTGGGAAAATTACTGGCAGCAACCACAGGAGGACTCATGCTATGTGATTCAACCAGCCCACATCTGGGAAAGCTCCTGCGGAAATGACCCAAGAGGTGGGAACAGTACTATACACAAAGATTCACTTCCACACTGTATGGCATGTACAGCCAAGTAATGGAATTCATCTGAATGGCCCAACAGCAGGAGATTGGTTAAATACGTGAGGATACACGCATCAAAAATCATGTGGGGGCTGGGGTTGTGGCTCAGAGGTAGAGCACTCACCTTGCACATGCAAGGCCCTGGGTTCAATCCTCAGCACACATCAAAATAAATAAATAAAACAAATGTATTGTGTCCAACTACAACTAAAAAATAATAAATATTTTTAAAAATTATGTGGGCTGGGGGTGTAGCTCAGTGGTAAAGCTCATGCTTAGCCTGTACTAGGTACTAGGTTCCTGGCACCGCCACATTTTTAAGAAATGATGCTAATTTCATAATAGTAAGCAAAGAAAAGAAGAAAGGGAGAAAGGAAGGAAAGAAAGAAGGAAGGAAGGAAGGAAGGAAATCCAGTATATTAACAGGGACCGTGGTGGGAGGTCACCCGGCACACTACAATATAGTATGGATGCTTTAGTAGAGATTATGTAAATTCTCTTTAAAAGAGTAGAATAAAATAGATAAACAATAGCTATAGTTTTAGTATGATGAGATTATAGGTAATTTTTGCATTCTTGTGTGTGTGTGTGTTTGTGGTACTGGGGATTGAATAATTCATGGGTGTTCTATCACTGAGCTACATCTCCAACCCTTTTTAATTTTTAATTTTGAGACAGGGTCTGGATAAATTGCCCAGGCTGGCCTCGAACTTGCCATCCTCCTTTCTCAGCCTCCAAAATTGCTGAGATTACAAGTATGCACCACCACATCTGGCAATTTTTTCATTCTCAGTGTTACCAGAGTTAGTGTTTTTATTTTAGAAGGGTTAATTTTTATAGCATCTTATAGTTCTTAAAATAAAATTTCACAGAAAGAGCCAATTCCTAAACTGAATCCAATATATTAACAGGGACCATGATGGGAGGTCACTCGGCACACTCATGTATGTAGCCCACTGGATATTCACATGTATTTCTTTGGGGTAGACAGAGTATTAGACTCCTGTTTTCCAACAGAAGACAGGCGGTGCAATGGCTAGCCTAATGCCACAGCCAATGGTGGCCCACCTAGAGCAGGGTCTCAGATACTTCAAACAATGCTCTTCTCCAGCACCGCAGCCTCCTGAGAGGTCTTGAGGAAGATGGCAGTAAGCCTGATGCTGTCCTGTCTCCCAGGACAATAAATAACATGGGTGGTTAAACATCGCCACAGTGTGTCTTAGCCAGGTAGCCAGGAAAGTAGCTTTGTGTGTGTGTGTGGTGGAGCGGTTGTCCCTCAGGAGCAACTGTGTCATTCCCCACCATAGAAAGGGGACCAAGATACTCACAGAGATCCACTGCTTCTTTGCACCAACCCACTCCTCGACCCCTGCCAGGCGGCGCTGCCTGTACTGAGATAGTTCCTGATATGCCACAAACTCATTCAGAAACAGCTTGATTCCTAGCAGCTCAGCCACCACTGGGCAGTCCTCCCAGGCAACGCCCATCAGGAAGGCCACAGGCCTTAAGATGTAGGAGCAGATGAGCTGAGGGTACAAGAGCAAGAAAACTGATTAGGACTGAGGGCAAAGCCTGGGCTTTGCTGGGTCACCACCCACCACCCCCAACCCCAGGATCTTCCCCTCCACATCCGGGAACCCCACCTGGAAGCTGAGCCCTTGGATCTCCACCATGTCTCCCAGCCAGGAGAGGGCAGCATTGACAAAGGCCAGCACAGACAGAAACGCAATCAGGTTGGAGGCGATGTTGGCAATCATCTTCACTGAGATGGCAGCCCCACCGCTGGCTGCTTCCACGAGGTTTTGGGCCTCTCTGTTATTGGGATGAAGAGTGATCATGATTGCCCACCAACAAGGGTCCCCATCCTAGAAGTTCCAGGAGGAACCTTGGACGGGTTGTTTCAGAATCAGAGAATCCTTACTTTCTCTGAGACCCAAAGGAAGGAGCCAGCACTGGGATAAGACCCACATTTCTAGCACTGCACTGTCCATGGCAGCAGCCATTAGCCCCATATGGCTTGTGACCACTTGAAAGGAAGCTGGTCCAAATTGAGTTCTGTTTTAAGTGCAAAATATATAGATTTTTGAGGATTTCGTATTTTAAAGAAAAAGAATGCAAAATATCCTTAGTACTTTTTACACTGAATATATGATGAAATGACAATATTTTAGATGTATTTGGCTAAGTAAAATATTTTATTAAAATCACCAGTTTCTTTTTACTGTTTTCAAGACAGTGACTAGAGAATGTAAAGCGATAGACCTCATGGCTAGCAGTGTTATTTCCATAGGACAGTGCTGCTGTAGAGCTTCAGGAGGTTTGAGGTTGGGCTACCCATTGTGTCCTCAAGCATATTAATCCAAAGTGGTACCCTTTCAATATCTTTATTTTATTTTTAATCTTATTTTATTGTTTGTTTATTTTTGGTACTGGGGACTGAACCCAGGGACCCTTTACCACTGAGCTGCACCCCAAGTCCTTCTTATTTTGCGGCAAGGACTCGAACTCGGGATCCTCCCGCCTCAATCTCCCGAGTTGCCGGAATTATAGGCATGCACCATTGCGTCTGGATCTTTCCAACATTTTTTAAAGGATTAATATAGGCTGGGGGTGTAGCTCAGGGGTGGAGCATTTGCTTAGCACTCAGGAGGTCCTCCGACACACCCCCTGCCCCCCCCCCCAGGCCCCCCGATTAAATGTTTTTAAGACCATGGTGATGACATGTTAGTAGTCACTGACATCAAGTTGGCTCTTATATATCAGTACGTGGTGCCACCTGGTGGTCAGAGCTCTGCACACAGGGAACTTGGCCCGGAGCCTTTCTATGGCCCTCCTACACCTCCAGGGACCGGGGCCCCACCCCTAGGAGCCGGGCCCCACCCACAGGCTTTGACCAGTCTGTTGTAAGATGTGAGAACTGGAGTCTGTTTTAGCAAGTGAAGCCACAATCAGGGCAGTGACCGCAGAGGTGGTCCTAGCCCAGGAAGCCAGTAATAGGCAGAGAGAACACGTGCTGTTGCCCTCCACCTCTGCTCTGGGTCCTGGGCACCACCGCCCTCTCTGCCAGCCCCCTTGCTGCTCTCACCCGTGACTCAGTTTCACTCCTTCCTTACTCTTGAACTTGGACTCCTCCACCTCTGGGTACATCAGCTTGGAGAGGGCCAAGGCACAAGGGGCAGCCATCACAGACGCAGCAACTAATGACGCAGGATCGATCTGCAAGATGAGAGAGAGGACAGTTAAAGGAAAGGGCCATTGCCAAGGAGAGTGACCCAGGGCAGCAGGGGAAATATGTACTCAGTCCCACTGGTATATCCTCATTGTCATTAATGTCCTCATTGTCATTTTCATCGTACTAATAATTATACCTTTTATATATAGAGGGTCACAGGCTACATGTAAAAGCCCACATATTTCCTCCCAGTACTTCTGTAAACTGGGCATGGCAAGTATTGTTACCCTCCATTTATAGGTGGGGAAAAGGAAGGTTTGTTACCCACATTTTATAGTTAGGGAAACTGAGGGCAAACCATATTTAATCCTTTGGGGCCTCAGTTTCCCTACCTATAAAAGAATTAAAACTCATCATATCTTTTGGCTTCAGGTTCAAGGTTCTTCCTTCCTTTCTAGACTGTCTCTCTTTAACCCCTCATGCCCATGAGCTGAGATTTCCATTAACTAAAGGGTTTGTGATGGATCAAACAAAGCTCCAGAACCTGAGAGTTGAGACAGATGGAAGATGTAACCCAATTCAATCTTGTCAGGTTATGTTCTGTGTGGGATTATAATCCCTGAATTGGATCCATCTTTGAATACTTACTATAATGGGGAACTCACCACTTCAGGGCAGCTCATCACACCCTCTCTTGCAGTTAGGGAACTGTTAGGAAATCTGCCTCCTCTAAGAGCCATCTGTGGTCCTGGGTCTGCCTCTGGGAGCCACTCTGTAAAAGCCCTCCCCAGCAAGATAGTGAAGCATCAGCTCCTAGAGTTTTCCCTTCCAGAAGCTTTATCCTCAATGTGGTCCCAAACCCTTTGCTTTCCCTGTTCTCTTCCACAGAGATAGATAGATGAGGCACTTTCCCCCGCCCCAACCTGTTGTTTACAAATGGTAAAACTAGAAGCGACTCAAACATCTAACATTGGAAGAATGGCTAAACGCAGTCAGGCTGCCATCACAAACCACAGTTACAAGGTCTCCTGATGACACAAGGAAGTGCCCACAAAACTGCACATAGAGCAGAACCACAACTATGGGAGAAAGACAACTCCAAAACTATGCATAAAAAGAAGAGCAGATGTTGGTGACAAGGAGAATATGCAAGGGTGAAGGCAGGAGATAGATGGGAAATTTCTCTATCTTGCTCTCAATTTTGTTGCTCTAAAAAAAAAAAAAAAAATAGTCATTAAAAAAAAGGTCAGAAATACTCCAAAATTGCCCCTGGCTGGCAAGTGGGGCCAGGAGTCATTTTTCTCTTCTTGGTGCATTTTGACATCTTTACAATACCCAGAACAGCAAAATAGTCTTTTTCTCCTTTAAGTTTATATTAAGCCAATAGCATGTTTGTTTGTTTTTTTAATCACTGTTGTTCTGGATTTTTTTTTGCAGTGGGGTGGGTACTAGAGATTGAACCCAGGGCACTTGACCACTGAGTCACATCCCCAGCCCTATTTTGTATTTTTTTTTTTTTTTTTTTTTTTAGAGACAGGGTCTCACTGAGTTTAGTGCCTTGCTTTTGCTAGGCTGGCTTTGAACTCGTGATCCTCCTGACTCAGCCTCCCTCACTGCTGGGATTGCAGGCACATGCCTCTGTGGACAGCTGTTATTTTGGATTTTGTTTTTGTTTTTTGGTACTGGGGATTGAACCCAGGGGCACCTTACCACTGAGCTACATCTCTAGCCCTTTTTATATTTTATTTGGTCTTGAATTTGTGATCCTCATGTTTCAACCTCCCAAGTAGCTGCCAATCTCAGTTTTTAAATTTTTTAAAAAAGTAAAAGAAGTAGGGAGGTAAGTTGAAGACATATGCTCTGCTAATAAAAGCAGAGTACAGAAGAAATGGTGGGATAGCTTATCATCATCTAAGAGAAGTATAGGAAGTGCAGATGAGGAACCAGGGCTGGAGACCATCTCAGGCTCTGATACACAGGCTATGCCTTCTTTTTCTAAACCCCAGTTGTTTCTTTTCAATGAAGTGCAGACACCCCTTGAAATACAAACAAGAACCAGCAGCAGCCCTGACACCTCCTCAGGCCAGGCACTTGGGAACTCAGAGGACAAAGCCTACCTGGGGGCAGGGGACTTCACTTGCTTTCTCCTAGGCTGCCTGCCTCCAGGCGGACAGTGTTACATCTGTCATGGCTTTCCCCTCTGCCAGACACGACATTGCCTTTTCCTCCAGTTTAGAGATTACATCTGGCTTATAAACTTGATTCCCAGCAGGCACACACTCTGCCGTTGTCATATTGCTTGGACTCCGTCCTTTAAGTGGGCTGGTTGTGACCACAGCTGGTCATTCCCTGCTCTTCATAGAAAGGGCTGAGTCTTGTACAGACAGTCAACTTGGGTGCTGGCTCAGCCCATGTGGCCGTCCACTGCCAGCCACTCTGCAGGGTCATGCTGTCCCTTGCCTCCCAGGCACCAGCTTAGGAATCCATTTCCTCTTTCCCAGCATCCTAGGCCTTCCCCTGCCCAATGACCTCCACTCTCTACCCACAAAGTCCCATGTAGAGAGAGAGAGGATAAGAATACTCTGCTTCAATTTTCGAATGGATTTTTACTGAGAAAGGGAATAAACCCAGTACAAACCATAAAATGGGCCATGTGGGACAGATTTCTGACTCTAATATGTCAGGAAAAGAACTACTACTTCTTTAACACCATGCTCTTAAGCGTTTTCTGCCTATTATTATTATACTGCTGGGAGGTGGCCAGTAGGTCTGCTCTTCTGCGGGATGTGGAAACTAAGCAGCAGGCTCACAGACCCTGTCTCTGAGGCAGCCATTCTTGCACAACTCATTGGGGAACTTGAATGGACAACTAATTCATGTCACTGGCCAGCCTGTTTTCAGTGCTTGAGGTACACATCTGGTTCTCGCTCAGGGTGGCCTCTGAGCCAGAGTAGAGATGTGAGTTTCTAGGCGTCAGCACAGAAAGCTGGTGCCTACTCCAGAGGCTTGGGGAAAACAGTGAAGACGGAGCCATATGTGGAGGTCACCATTGAAATAATTCCATTGAGTGACCCCTTGGAGCTGGGGACTATGGGAGAAAGCCTAGACCAGCATTGTCCAATACAAATATAAAGGGAAGCACATCCATAATTTCACACTTTCTAGTAGCTGCATTTTAAAAGTAAAAATAAATAGTTAAAATTCAATTTTAACAATGTTTTAATTAACCCAATATATCCAAATATGTTCTTTCCACAATGTAATCAGTATCAACTTATTAATAAAATATTTTTTTGTGCTAAGTTTTGCAGCACATCTCATTTTGGATTAACCTTATTTCAGGTGCTCAATAGCCATGTGTGGCTAGTGGCCATTGTGTTGGACCCTGTGGGACTGGAACGAACTATGCGGATATGGGCCATAGGAAGGGTGAGAAAAAGGGAGTTAGAAGTTGAGCCATAAAGAAAAAGGTCTTAAGAAACTGGTAGCTTGGAGGAGAGAGCAAGAGGGATCTTTCTGGAATTCAGGGGTTGAGGGAAGAACCAGAGATACCCCAAGGAACTAGCCTTGAGAAGGAGTTGAGAGGAAACCATGGGGAAAGCCCAGGACTGGGCAAAGGAGGCCCAGAGCCAGGTGGGGACAGAAGAGAGCTGCTCTGGAACCAGATTTGAGGTGGATCCAGTAGGAGGAGGGAAGGAGAAGGAAGGAGGAAGGTGTTAGGTGACCTTTTCCTCCCCAGGCCACTATGGCTGTAGCCAGGGGCTTCCAAGCCCAGAAATCTGTGATCACATGGCTCATCCTGGGTGCCTCTGCACATTCTATGGAGCTAAAGGAGGTGGGCACTGAGGCCCTGTCAGTTAGGAGGCTAGACTGCCCAGGACTGGGTGGACTCTGGAGTAAGAAAGGGAAGAAGGGGGACTGAGTTTTAAGCCAGATTGTGTAAAAGGGAGGGAGTTCTTCCAGCACAGATCATTTTCAGCTTAACAACGTTTCAACTGCCTGATTTTTTACTTTAAGATAGTGTGAAAGTGATACACACTATAGACACTGTACTTTGAATTTTTTTGTTTTAATTTTTTTGTAACCTTTACTTTCTTTGTTTATTTTTATGTTGTGCTGAGGATCAAACCAGTGCCTCATGCATGCTAGGCAAGCACTCTGCCACTGAGCTGCAGCCCCAGCCCTGTACTTTGAATTTTGAAGTTTGATCTTTCCTAGGCTAGTCACATTCATGTTATTATGCTAATAACATGCAAGATACTCTTGCAATGCTGGTGGCAGCAGCTCCCAGGCAGCTGAGCCAAAATGGTCCAGTCTAGGAAACATCTCAATGCTCTGCATGCAGCGCACTATGTGGCTAAGTCAGAATGGTCCATAGTTAAGTATATGCATTTTCAACTCACCATGGGTTTATCAGGATGTGGCCCCATTGTAAGTTTAGGAGCGCCCATAGTTAACTTTTAAGTAATGGTAGAAGTCTCGGCACTGCCCATGTGCTAAAAAGAATACCAGGCATGTTCTTATAACTCTCGGAGCCCGAGAAATATAAAAACATTTAAAGGCCCTGAGTCCAAAAATATTATGTCATCCCCTTTCCCTAGTATTTTACCATGAAAAAGGTTTTAGGAACAAAGTTCTGAGTTCCCAATTTGAAATATCAAATTCCTTCCAAAAAACCATTGGTGGTGAGGTAGGCAGGGATGCATTTGGATCTTGGTAAGACAAGATGCAAATCAAATGATGGTTCTGGAATACTAAACAGGAGGGTGCCAGGCTGGAAGACAAAGCCACAGAGTGCAAGGGGCCTTCTTTAAAAGTTACACAACCACCAATTCTGCCCAGGTAGTTCATGGAAATATGGAGCTGATCTTATTGGTGTGGTAAAAGGTCCTGAGTGAAAGAGGGACTAGGGGGTAGGCTGGCTTATCCTGTCATCCATCCCCACCAGCCACCTCAAGATCATAAATGGGATAGGTGGAATTTGGGACTGTGAATGGGACAGTGGGTCATTCTGTCCTTCCAGTGCCTATATACACATAGTACAGGGGTGAGGGGGGGCAAGCAAAGATAGCTCAGTTGGTACCCACAACCTCTCTCACTCCAAGCACTGAATGGCATCACATTGTATGGACTAACTCACTCACTCATCCAGCTTATTATTGGATTATTATTATTATTATTATCCCAACAATAAGTTGGACATTTAGGTTGTTTCCAAGTTTCTTGCTATTAGAACTAATGTCAAAATTTTGCATTTTAAAACATTTGTGAAAACATTTCTATATCATAATCTCCCTAGCTGGATCAAGGGGAAGAAACTTTTTTCTTTTTACTTGGTATTAAACCCATTAAACCAAAATTATTTTTAATTTTGAGACAGGATCTCGCTAATTTGCTTAGGGCCTCCCTAAGTTGCTGAGGCTGCCCTCAAACTTGTGGTCCTCCTGACTCAGCCTCCTGAATCAATGGGATCACAGGAGTGTACTACTGTACTCAGCTGGGAAGGAACATTTTTAAATTGACTGATAGATAGATGTTCTCCACAGAGACTCCGGCAAATTTTATTCCCACAACGAGTGGATAAGCACCCCACATCCTTGCGATTTAGAGGTATGTAAAGTATTGTGACTCACTTAGAAAAAAACATGAAGTAAATATTGTTTTAATTTCTTTGAACATCTGCACACTTTTTATAATAACCATTTTCTCCAGATAATTTTTTAAATATAGATGTTCCCTACCTTCTGTGTGTAATGATTTTGTCCATACAGAATGTTTTCCATTTTTATTAGCTCTGTCAACCTTCTTTATACTTCTGTATTTTTGTGTCATGCTCAGAATATATTAGAAAAAAGCAAGTTGCAGAAAAGTATGGGTAGAAGTATCTCATCTTTTATGAAGAAATAAAGTGTGTGTGCATTCAGGTGTAGATAAATCATTATTTACACAGAAGGATCTGGAATGACATATTTTAAGTCAGTGAGTCTCTAGCATCAGAGTCACTGGAAGGCTTGCTCAGTAGGTTTGCAGTGGGCCCAAGTATAGACATTTAAAAAAATTCTCAGATGATACTGGTCCATGAACCACACTTTGAGAACCATTGTTTTAAGCAATTAAAAGCAGTCACCATGGATTTGTTTTATAATGAGACAGGGTTCTCAAGGTCTCACTATGTTGTGCAGGTTGGCTCTGAGCTTCTGTTGCTGAAGCAGTTTCTCAGGCCTCAGCCTCCTAGTAGCAGGGACTACAGCCATGTGCCACCAGTAAGGAAGAGAGAGGTTTTTAATTTTTTATTTTATTTTATTATTTATTTATTTATTTTGAGTAGTGGGGATTGAACCCAAAAGCATGCTACCACTGAAATACCTCCCTTGTCCTTTTAATTTTTTTTTTTAATTTTGAGACAGGATCTCTCTAAGTTACTGCAGCTATCACTAAGTTGCCTAGGCTGTCCTCAAACTTGCAATCCTCCTGCCTTAACCTCCCCAATTAGGATTATAGGCATGCACAACTGCATGGAAGAGAAATTTCTAAAAACTTTATTCACTTCCACAATAACTAAGAATTTCTTTGATTGTTAAAAAAATAAGATTTTGACAATTTGTATATGAAAGCAAAAATAAGAACAAGGTATATTATAAATATATAACATTGTTAACTCAGCAATTTGTAGGGAACATATTTGAAGATTCCTTTCCACCTACCAGGAAGTAGTACTGTGGTTGATTTAAGGGACCAATTCACACCACTGGAATTTAACCTATGAATGCACTGTGCTCTGTAAGTTGCACAGCAATAATTTAGGAGAAGAGGAAGGACCTAAGCCCAAAGATTGTAGGGAGGCAATTGGTGGAGAGTAACACAGACCTCCACGGACAGCCTCGGTGTGAGTTCTTGGAGAAATGAGCATGAATTTTGGAATCACATATATCTGGACTCAGATCCTAGCTTTAAGCATTACTTGTTCTCTGAGCCTCAATTTTCTCACTGTAAAAAGGGGATATTAAAACGTCTAGCATATTGCCTGGCATGTAGTAGGTGCTCAGTAAAGAGAACCCTGGGAATCTTTGTCTCCAGTGATCATGTAAGAAGAATGAACAAGTGGTCCAGCCCTTCAGGCCTGTGTCACTCTGGTGAGGTGTCTCCTCACACCAGCCCAGCAACTGAGCTTGAGGCCCAAGAGAGAACATCCCAGGGATGCCCTGGCCCAGATCTGCACGGGGTGCCCCCAAAGGTGGGTTTCTGGCCCTCAGTATAGCCAAGCAGAGGGAAAGTTGTCCCTACCCCAAAGGAGATGTAGACGCCCAGCAGGCTTCCCGCGATGGTGGCAAAGCCTCCAGTCATGACCACATGGACTTCAGAGAGCGTCATGTCTGCCAAGTAGGGCCGGATCAGTAGAGGAGCCTCAGTCTACAAATGGGAAAGATGGCAGAGGGCTGAGCTGGGGTGATTGGGTACTTTCCCCGCCCAGCCTCTGCCCTGAGAGCCAGGAGGTCAGAGAAAGCATTGAGGAGTCCTTAGGGAAGAGACATCGGGGGTGAGGTCAGAACTGTGGTCTGTACTTGGCTGAGCCTCTCTGAACCTCCGTGTTGGCCCACTTCTATGAAAGGTCCCCCGTGCCTCCCTCTTGGTTTGATAATGCTCCCATGTGTGGACTGCTGCCATGTGACAGGCACCCCACTAAGCACCTCACTGTCATGACTCTCAACCTTCTGAGGCAGAACTGGGCATCCCATTTCCAGGAGAGCAAAGAGAGTTTCAGGGAGGTGCCGAGAATTACCTGTGTTCGTGCAAAGGGGTGGGAAGCACAGGTTAACTCCAGGTCTGAGCTTCTCATAAAGAAGCCATGAGGCTTGTTGTAAAGAAACGAGTCAGGGCATACAAGGTGGGTTTATTTCAGAGCATGTGGGGAAGCCTGGAGCCCCTCATTATCCATTAAGTAAATAGTTATGGAGCACCTAGGCACTGTTTTGTAGGATGAGGATACCATGGTAAATAGTTTATATCCTGGGAGCAATGGAAGGTGGGAGAGGGGTTTTATGGAGGGAGAGAGGTTATGGATAATCAATAAGGAGCCAAGTAGATAAATAATGTAACTAGAGATAAAGAGATGGAATAAAAGCATGCTTAGTAGTTAGAGGTATTTATTTATAGTAGTAGGGATTGAACCCAGGGTCTCATGCATGGTAAGTAAGCTCACTGCCACTGAGCTGCATCCCCAGCCACTTATTTAATTTTCATTTTGAGATAAGGTCTTGCTAAATTGCTGAAGCTGGCCTTGAACTTGTGATCCTCTTGCTTCAGGCTCTGAGTTGCTGGGATTACAAGTGTGTGCCACTGTACCTGGCCTTAGATGTGTTTTTTTTTTTGTTTGTTTTTTGTTTTTTAAGAGAGAGAGAGAGAGAGAGAGAGAGAGAGAGAATTTTTTAATATTTATTTTTCAGTGGACACAACATCATTATTTTTTTTATTTGTATGTGGTGCTGAGGATCGAACCTAGCGCCCCATGCATGCCAGGCGAGTGCATTACTGCTTGAGCCACATCCTCAGCCCTTAGAGGTGTTTTTGATGGGTCACTCAGGCAGATATAAAAAAGGATGGATAGGAGAGGTGGGATGGAAGCAGGGAGAACAGGCAGGTGAAAGCACCATCCAGGTGAGAGACGGGGTGGCTAGTAGCAAGGAAGAAGGGCAGAGGGCAAGTGTGCATGTGGCGTGGAGGCAGAGCTGCAGGACTTGCTGACAGGTGGGGGTGCATGGAGAAAGAGAAGCAGAGGAAGGAAGGATGGCTCTTAATTCTGTCTGAACAACGTGGTGGAAGGTGACATAATTTACCGAGAAGGGAAAGTCTTAGAGAGAGGTACAGCTGTGATGAGGGAGAAAGTCAAGCGTCCTGTATTTACGATTTAGCCTATTGAATTTGAGATATCCAAGAGGAAGGATAAAAAACCAGTTGACACGTCAGTCAAGTTCAGAGGAGAATTCAGGGCTCCAGAGTAGGATATGAGAGACATTTCAAGCATTTAAGGGCAGGCATGGTGGAGCACACCTGTAATCCCAGGTATGCAGGAGAGTGAAGCTGGAGGATCAAATTTCAGCCCAGCTTGGGTAATGTAGCTCAAAAAAATAATTAATTAATTAAACATTTAAAGCAACGGGGCTGGTGCAAACCCCTAGGGAGGTAGTGGACCCAGGCCTGACACATTTACAGGTTGAAATGATGCCAGTAATCTTTGAAGGTTCCCCATCTCCTCCCCTTGAAGGAAATGAGGCAGAAATCTAGGTCAACTTGACCAACCACTTGTGCAAAGTTAATTTACCTTGGGAGCTCTTTATGTCACCCAGTGACACATTCAATGCAATTTATATTTTATCAGTAGAAACAGATTGCATTTGCAGCCTCTCATATAATGTAAATGCCTTTGTATATCAGTGTATTCTTTCTTACTCTATTTATTTATTAATTTATTTAGTACTGAGGACTGAACCCAGGGCTTTGCACGTACTAGGTAAGTGCTCTGCCACTGAGCTACATTTCTAGCCTTATTTTGAACATTTTAAGGAATATTTGGGACACTCTGCCTGTCAGCACATCTGTCTTAGTTGGCTAAAAATAAACAAAAAATATTTGAAATCAACACATACCACAGCAAAAAAAGATGCAAATAGTTTCCAAAGTTTCATAAACTATTCAAATATGGCATCTTTTGACAAGTGTGTCCCTCGGGGACTCAAATGTTAGGTAGATGGGCCAGGATAGACCCTGAAAAGGCCTCCAGAGTCTTCCTCACTCAAGAGGGTTGGGCATGAAGGGACTCGGGACTCATGGCACCTTCAGAGTCATGTTTACTTTGGGAAATTCACTTTCAGAAAGAGAGTGGGGGTAAAAAAGACAAAATGGTGTAGCAGAAAGAACACTGGCGAGGAAGGAAAAAATCTGGATTCTAAGTCTTGGCTTATACTGTGGGCTACTGACCACACTGTTCCCATCCCAGGAGCCTCAGTTTTCTCATGTAGGATTTGTGAGTCTCTAAGCTAATGAAGTCAGCCAAGGGTTAGAGTGGCAGCAGGTGCCAGGCAGGTCCTCTCTGGCATGAGCTAGGCAAAGAGCATAGCCTCCATATGGAGGACCTTTGGGGCAGCCTTTGGTGACCTTGGGAGAAGGTTTAAATGGCTCTTCAGTGGACTGAATCAGAGCTCCATGGCTTCAGGGCCTCCACCCTCTTAGAGAAATTTATAGTACTCACCTGGCCCACAAAGATGTTTCCTGCCACACTCAGGGTCTCAGTGGCTGTGGTTCCCATGGTGACCTGCATCAGCCAGGCAATCTAAAAGCAAGCAGGCTGCTTTTTGGGAGCTGAATTATCAAACTCCAGAATCAGAGAGTCTTGCAAGTCTTCTAACTGTCAGCCCAGCACAGGACATTGATATATTTTGATTGTCCTCCCCAAAACTCACATTGAAATTTCATTGCTGTTGTGACCTCTTTTTAAGTTTAATTTTATTATTTTTGGTGGTCTGGGAACCAAACTCACTCATACTAAGCAAGCACTTTAGCACTGAGCTATATCCCCAGCCCTTTTTATTTTAGTTTGAGATGGGGTCTTGCTAAATTGCCCAGTCTGGGCTGGAACTTGCGATCTTCCTGCCTCAGTCTCCCAAGTCACTGGGATTACAGGCACATGTCACTGCACCTAGCTTCAGTAATATTTATTAACATGCTAGGGAACTAGAGTTTTCGTGGAAAAGGTTCTAGAAAACACTGTATCAAAAAGATCTTCCTTTCTAGTCAAGATGAAATCTGCTTCCCTTGAAATTTCTCTCCACTGCTAGTACCTCCCTGGCTGCCCTTTCCAAAGTCTCTCTTCTGTAAGTATTTAAAGATGGCTTTCTTATCCCTAATTTCTTCTATTCCAGGCCCATTGTTCCTTATCCCTTCCACTGTTCTGTGGAAGGCATGGTTTCAAGTCCTTTCACTCTCTTGATTAAAAATCTATTTTTACCAGCCCTGAGGTTGAACACATTCTCCAAATCTGGGGACAATCACCTCCCTCACACCATGCAATGTGTGCTCTTAACATAAGCACAGGTTGTTTTTGCATCCTGGCAGCCACCTGATGGTGCTGATTTATGCTGAGCTTAATCAGCTAAAATCTCAGAATCTTTGCCAGGCCCAATGCTGTCTCCCACATCCTGGTTTTATGCAGCAGATTTTATGAACACAAGCACAGAATTTGACATATTTACATGTGAAGTCTGTTCACTGTGGCCCACTGTTACAGTCTCTCAAGGTTATTATTATTATTGTTATTATTATTATTAGTGCTGGGGATGGACCAAGGCCTCATGCATACCAGGCAAGCACTTTACCACTGAGCTACATTCCCAGCCCTCTCAAGATCTTTTGAGTATGTCACTTTTATTTTTTCCCTAACAACTCAGTATAGCCCAATGACTACAACCCTCTCTCCCATGGAAACCACATTGGATCTGGGTGCCATTTCTCCTTAGTATCATAACCAGAGAGCTTGTGAAAGATGTTTGGTTAGTGGTAGGTCCTGGAAGAATGTGGCATCATGGAAGCAGTGGATTCTGGGAAGGTATAGACCTCAGGAGCAAAGGATTTGGGGAGGGTGAGGGCCCAAGGGGCAGGGGATTTGGGGAAAGTATGAACCCTGGAATCAAAGGATTTGGGGAGGCTGTGGACCTTGGGAGCTGGTGACTGCAAAAGAGCCCAGGCCTGGGTACAGGGTACTTACCTTCAAGATTACCCACTGCATTAGGCCTAGATAGTAGAGAACTGACATGACACAGCTGAAGAAAATAATGATGGGCAAAACCTGCCAGGAAAGAGAGCACAAGACCCCAGGTTAGAAGAAGGGAGGTGGCAGGAGGCCAGGCAGGGCCCTAACAGCCCACTCCATCCCAAGGCCTTGCTTCTCAGAGGCCTGACAGTCCAGTATTGTACAGAAGCTCTGGGTCCCCTATGGCTGGCAGACCTGGAGTGACCGAGTTCACCTGCACCATTGTCAATTAGGGAAGAAGCTCTATTTTTAGTGCAGAAAACCCCAGGTGCTATGCATGTGGGGCCTCTTTGGAGGCACTACTATTCTCTTCATTTCCTCTCAATAGCAACATCCACCAGGCCACACTCCCTCTCTCCTCCCCACATACAGGCCTGCATGTGCTGGGAGCAGGGGTTGAGTGTGCCACTTGCTCACTTGCTTCTTTGTTTCCAGAATGGGATAAAATGCTCACTCCTCAGGGTTGTTTTGAAAGTTAAATTAGGAGCTTGCCTGGGACCTAGCACTTGCACCACATCCCCTCCTCCAGGAGCTCAATGTCGGCTTATAACTCTGCCCTTTATCACCTTCCCATACTCTGGGCCAATGCATTCTGGTGTTCCACTTCCACTCAGCGCCAACAAGCTCAGAATAGATTCATCCTGGACCAGCAACCAGCACCTCGTCCTGTCACCCCGCTTCCTACTACCATCCTTAACCTGCCTCTTCATTCACTCCAAGATTCATTACCTACCTCTTCCTTCAAAATTTCCCTCACATCTATTCCTTCCTTTCCAGGCCCCTGGCCCCACCCCAGTGCTTTCTTATTGTGGTCTCATTTATAATTCAGACTGGCAAAAACTGACATATCTAAAAGACAGAGGACTAGTTTAATAACCTCTGGCATGACCACACAATGGTGCACTAAATCAGAACACAAGAATGAGGAAGCTTTCTATAGAAATTTGTGGACCGATTTCCAAGTTAGTTTGTTAGGCAAAGAAAGAGAAGATATATGGGGGGTGGGGTTATTGAGGGGTGGGGGTGTATGCCATGCTGTTATGGGGAAAAAAGTGAGAGAGCATTGTGTTGTGGTCTTGTGTGACATGGGACATCACTAGGACATGAGTGTGACCAGCGTCAGCAGGTGCCTTGGAGAGGAGTAGAATTTGCTTTTTCCCTTTTGCCTTTTTGTATCTTTTGCCTTTTTTCTACTCATGTGTTATCTTCCAAACAGTTGTTAACTAATCAATTTTGAAGTCATGCAGAACTGGAAATAATCTGGGAACATTCTTGTGCTAAAATGTTAAATGGGAAAATTGGAATATTAAAAATATAGAAAGGAACCTGGAAGGCAGTGCTCTCTGATAGTAAAAGGACTGGCTTCTGTGAGTGGGGGCTGAAGGAATTTTGTTTTCTTTTTTCCTCTATTTCTGAATTTCCCTGCCTTTCCTATAATTTTCTATAATAGATGGACATTTCTCAAGGCAGAGGGGCAAAGGCAGAGGAGAGGTCTGGGGGAAGTTCACTTTGGACTTGATGGGTTTGAGATGCCCATGGAACATCCTAGTAGAGTATCAAGTGGGAAGCTAGATAAAAGGGTTAGGAGCTAAGGGGAAATCCGGGTCAGATCAAGTTGGGACTCATCCATAAAAAGTGAAGGGTGAGATGATGGGGTGTGATACACTGAGAAAACTGCCTGGGGTGAGCTGAGCAGGAGCTAAGGACAGGGCCCTGGGGTCATCATCACAGAAGGATAAGAGGGGAAAGAGGGGAAATAGCCAGAGGTTGGAAAACAACCAAAGAGGCATGTGACACAAACTGAGAGGGCATGCCCGGTCAGCTGAGGGGTGCCTCAGAGCTCTGGTAAGATAAGGCCTGAGGCTAATTGTTGGCACTTAGCGATTCAGAAGTCTCGGGCAATCTAGGTGGGAGCAGTATCAGAGGAAGGGTGGGGATACCCAAGGAGGGGAGAAAATAAAAGGCATAGAGGCAATGAGTCCAGCTAGCCCTTTCAAGACCCTGGGCTGTGCAGGAAGAGCAGCCTGGCTAGAAGCAGGTGAGGATCAAGGCCCTGTTGATTTGATTTTGAAGAAGGAAGAGTCTAGAGCAATCAAATTTAGGTTCTCGTTCAAAACGAATGGGAATGGGGCATCGTGGTGCATGCCTATAATTCCAGTGAGTAGGTAGGCTGAGACAGGAGGATCACAAGTTTGAGGCCAGCTTCAGCAATGTCTTAAAATTTAAAAAAGAAAAAAAAAACATAAAAAGAGCTGGGGATGTAGTTCTGTAGTAGAGCACCCCTGGGTTCAATCCCCAGTACTGCACAAAGAAGAAAAAAAAAGGAGGGGCGAGGGGAATACAAAGAAGGTTCCTAGTGAGAGGGAGCTCCTGTGCTCTGGCTGGCTGGGCTGGAAATGAGAAGCAAGCCCTGCTGGCTGGGGTGGGGGACTATCCTCTCCTTTCCCAGAACTCCCCAGTTCTTATCTGGACTTGTTTCACTTCACATCTGTCACCAATTTCATTGCAGTTGCGGATGTCACCTGACAGGGATCACAGACGCTGGCTCCAGAAATCCATTTCCTGCCCTGTGACTCCTCCACTGCCGGGGGCTAGAAGCACCACCAGCGTGGAGCGGTGATATCATTCTGTTTTCCTGGGAGTGAGATGCACAGAAGATCACGTACTGTCTAGACTGCCCATCTAGTTGCTCATGTGAGGGACAGCAGGGCAGCTGGCAGGGCCACAGAGATGGACACAAGCCAGGAAGGAGGCACTCAGGGTGGCAGGACCCAAATCCAGATTTAGCACCAAGAGATATATTTTATCTGCATGATGGAGGTTTTCGGTGGAAAGGAAGCTGGGTTTTGGATTAAGTGGTGACTTTCTAGGGTGTGAGAGGAAATGGAAGAGAAGCAATCCCCAATTTTCTAAGGTGGGGTATTTAATACTAAATAAGGTCCCTGTGTCTAATATGATCTCCCAGCCCAGAAACACCTCTGGGACCTGCAGTACATGACATGATAGAAGAACAGGTAGCTCAGGGCAGTATTGTCATGGAAGGACGAGAAAAGTGCAAGCAAGTCCTACTATGTGCTTATTATAAAGTCCTACTATGTTCTAGGTAACCAAAGTGCGGTGACTTGTTGATCCTCAAAGCCACTAAGGTAGAAGTAACTGTCTCCTCTTCACAGATAGGCACACTGAGGCTCTAAGTTGTGGGCTACCTGCCCAAAGTCACTTACATGAAAAGATACAGAGACCTCCTGGTCACCAGACAGGTTGCTTTGGTCCTCAGTGACCCAAAGGAGTTGCCCAAGAAGGATCTTGTACTTCTGTCTTCAGGGGCAGCATGTGTCCCTGTTATAGACTGAATGTTGTTGTCTGTCCTCCACCCCCTACAAATTTATATGCTGAAACCTAATCCCCAGTGGTATTAGGAAGAGGGCTTTTGAGAAGTGATTAAGTCATGGGGGTGGAGCCCTCATGAATGGGATTAATATCCTTATAAAAGAGGTCCCAGAGGATTCTCTTGTCCTTCCACCATGTGAGGACCCAGAGAGAAAACCATCTATGGCCAGGAAAAGGGCCCTCATCGGGACCCACCCATGCTGGCACTCTGATCTCATTTCCAGCTTGCAGAACTGTGAGGAATAAATTTCTGTTGTTCAATTGCCACCCAATCTGTTTTTTTTTTTTTTTTTGTGATAGCATCCCAGGTAGACTATGACAACTCCCTTTGAGGAAGAGCCAAATAAGTCCTGACGATGGAACTCCTAGCTTTTCCAGGCCAGCAGTGGGTGCTCAGAGTGTGGTCATGTGAGGATTTGTTAGAAATGCACATTTTGAGCCCCTCCTCCAGAATTTCAGATTCAGTAAGTTTAGGGCAGGGTCTAATATTTGGGTCTTTCCAGGACTCTTGGTACTACTGGTCTGGACACCATACCCTGAGAACCACTGTTCCAGAGTGCAGACCACACGCTCTGAGTGAACTTGGCCTGGAACAGGGCCAAGCCCACTGGGGATGGGGCCCAGCTCCCTCTTTTCCTTGAAGGGAGCTGAACCAAGGCTCTTGATGACTTCCTAAGGCTGTCTGGGCAAAGCTCCATGTCCCCAGACCCCACGACCTACTCACTTGTAGACAGTGCCATCACCAGTCCCAGGCCATGAGGAACCATAGAAACCCAAAGCTGGAAGGCCCCTCAGAGGCCCCTCAGAGGCCGTAGCAATGTTATAACACCAACATGACCCAAAAGCAGAATGGACTTGTTGGGCTGAACACTGGTGAGTTCCTAGGAAAGCTTGCAGTGAGATTAAAAAGGATTCTGAAAGAGTGTGATAACAGCGGAAATGGAGAGGAGGAGCTGGTCACTTATTTCTAATCTTTAGATGAGGATCTAAACAGGATAACCCTGGTGGTAAAGTACTTAAGAAACATCTGAGGAAATTCATCTGTGCAGTGGTCATGCAACCTATCCTCTATATTTCCCTGGCTCGTAGGCACGCCATGGCCCTCCAGTGCATTCCAGCCTGACCGCTGAGGAGTAAGTAATAAAATGTCTATTGAGTTCTTCAAGTTCTTCCTTTGGGATCAGTAAACTGTATGCTTGGGGCATTTTCAACCTTGGGGTTGAATAACTGGCATGATTGGCCAGGATCCCAAAGAAGGCTACGTCGAGGTAACTCTGGAATTGGGAAAGGGCATGAAGTCTGGGGGGTAGGAGGGGATATCAGACTGGCTACCACCTTGATGTGGTTTGGGGTGCCTTCCCTATTGGAGGAGGGAGGACCACTATTCATAGGAATAGGAAAGATAGTGGAATGAATTGGACATAACTTTCCTATGTATATAAATGATTACACCACAGTGAATCTCCACATCATGTAAAACCATAAGACTGGGATCCTAATTAAGTAAGATGTACTACACGTTTGTATAAATATGTCAAAACATACTCTACTGTTATGTAACTAAAAAGAACAAACAAAAAAATATTCATAGCAATAGCATTGGTGGACATGGGAGCTGAGTGTACATTGATTTACAGTAATCCTAA